ATGTGGATCCTGAGAAACTTAACAGGAACCCATGGGGGAGGGGAAGGAAAAAAAAAAAAAAGAGGTTAGAGTGGGAGAGAGCCAAAGCATAAGAGACTGTTGAGAACTGAGAGCAAACTGAGGGTTGATGGGGGGTGGGAGGGAGGAGAGGGTGGGTGATGGGTATTGAGGAGGGCACCTTTTGGGATGAGCACTGGGTGTTGTATGGAAACCAATTTGACAATAAATTTCATATATAAATAAAAAAATAAAAAATAAATAAAAAAAAATAAAATTCACATTTGTATCTTAATATATAATATCTATGTGAGAAAAAACAAAATCCACATCAAGGCATTTAATATGATATCTAAGACCAAATTTCAGAAGTAATCCCAAGCCATACGTATCATCTTTAGGTTTAAAAAAAGTTTATTAGCTGAAAATACCTCTTTCATATTACAAAGCTAAGCAGAACCACCAAGAATGTGTGAAAGAGCAAAACATAGCAGAATTGAAGTAAAGAGACTTGGGCTTTCTGTCTTGCTTGATTACTGACTTTGTCACCTTAGATAAATCACTGAAAAGTCTCTGGGCCTCAACTACTTCATCCATAAAATAACACAGTTGGTCTAATGATCTGTAAAGTCCCTTATAGTTCTAAATGTTATGATGCCTATGTCACAACTTTAAAAAGTACTATTGGAATATTTAGTGACAATATATCAACATTTCTATTCAACAAGTATATTCTGCTGAGACATCTGGTTTCACTTAAAAAAAAGAAGGTGAAATCCATCTGATGATCACTACTTGTGCTGTAAAATTACACTCTAACTACTGTGCAACCAGCAATTAAACAAAGAACTCTGATAAAAGAAAACCCCACAGGAAGGAATTGTGACTTCCTATTTCAAAAAGCTAACTGAAAATTTACATTTGCCTCTGATCCCTCCCCAAAACTCTCCAAAATGCCAGAAGAAATATAAAAATAAGTCCATAGTAATATTGGAAACCAAGAAGGGCATGTATCCATGAGCAGACTTCAACAGTACAAATTTTTGTAAGCTAAAGAGCAAATGGGACCAGAGTGATAGGAAAGCAATCCAAGAAGCCAGAAATCCCCTACAGAGAGAGAGAGAAGGACAATGTAAGAATAACCCCAAGATGAAGGGCAATAAGAAGACCTGGGCCATGAGGGATGAAAACAGCTAAACCAATCCCTAGATCTGTGAAAGGCTCCAGCATCTGCTGCCCAAATACAGGTGTAAGTACAAAGGATATATTGCAAATATAAAGAAGACTTATATTTCTTCTCTTTATGTAGAATTTTAAGCCAATGACTTTGAAAATCTGGCTGAAAAGAATGTGGTGCTGAGGGAAAACAAAATCAGTTACCGAAATTAACCTAAAAGGAAGTACATAAACCAAATAGATTATTAAGAAAATGTTTGGGGCGCCTGGGTGGCGCAGTCGGTTAAGCGTCCGACTTCAGCCAGGTCGCGATCTCGCGGTCCCCGTGAGTTCGAGCCCCGCGTCGGGCTCTGGGCTGATGGCTCAAAGCCTGGAGCCTGTTTCCGATTCTGTGTCTCCCTCTCTCTCTGCCCCTCCCCCGTTCATGCTCTGTCTCTCTCTGTCCCAAATATAATAAATAAACGTTAAAAAAAAAAAAGAAAAAAAAAGAAAAAGAAAAAAAAAAAGAAAATGTTTAAGTCAAAGATCTACCCTTCAAAAAGGCTCCAAGCCTAGAAGATCTAGGTATTTTCTTTTAAACCTTTAAGCAACAGTTACTTCTTACAGTATTTAACTGTTTAAGAACACAAAAAAAGATGAAAAACTTTGATAGCTATTTCATAACACACACAAAAATAAACTCCAGATGAATTAAAAAGGCAAACGTATAAACTTATTAAAAGATTATATAAAATATTTACATAATCCAAATGAAACACAAATGCTATGAAAGGAAATGAATGACAGACTTAACTACATAAAAACTGGAAGAAAAAAAATCCGCATGGTAAAAGTATACCGTAAGCAAAGTTAAAAGGCAAGAAAGCGCATGGGAGAAAATATTTCCCAGAATATAAAAAAGGATTAGTTCAATTTTATAAAGAATTCCTACAAATTAAAAAAATATCACCCATTGGACTAGCAATAATTTTAAAGATTAGCAAAGTTCAATGTTGGCAAGGGTATACAATGAAGGTGGAACATAAACTGGTACAGATATTTTAAACATACATACCCTTTGACTCAGGAAATCCTCTTAAGAATCTAGCTTAGAGAAATTTCTGTATACATACATACAAATTTATTAAAATGCACTCCTTGAACTCTTCTCTCAATCTCTCCCACTTTCTCTTGCATCAATTTTTCCCTCTGCTCCATCATTATCCATAAGCTTACAACATTTTATTTCTCCATCTTTGACAACAAAAGAAATATCTTGATTTCATATCCCCCTCCAGCA